CTACTCAGGAGGCTGAGGTGGGAGGATCACTTTTGCCCAGGAGGTCAAGGCTACAGGGAGCCCTGATCGCGCCATTGCACTCCAGAGCCCAGGCAATAGAGCGAGAACCTGTCCCAAAGAAATAAATAAAAATAAGTAAATAAATAAATGGTACCTGATGTTTGTAAGAGTGGTTATCTAATAATGTCATTTGACCAGGCTTTTGGACATGAACTAGCCTAGTCTGTTTTGAGTATGACACCAGCTACCTTAAGTGAGCTGCTTTCTGAAAAGGTAAGTCTGTTACAGAAGTAGATTCTAGAATTTACACGGAGTGGCAGATTAGAACCAACTGTAATTGTACTAGTGGTTGAAAAAACAAAACAGCTACTCTTTCATGGCTTAATTTTTTTTCCCTACAGGAATAATTTCCCTTTTTGTGAACAGTGATTGCTAGGTTATCTGTGCTAAGTCATTGAATAAAAACAAACCCCACTTTCATTCCTCAGACTGTTGGGGCACATTCTACACCAATGCTATTTTGAAATTTTAATCAGTTTTTATCCTGGCGTTCTTTAAGAATGGGAGAGAGTTCAGAATGTTTCTTCTATTAAAGTTTCTTTCAGAACTTCAATATTAATTTAGGAAGCTAGCCAGCTTGAAGTAGTAAGGGTGGGATAATAGAAATGCAGCTTGGTGAAGAATCAGAAATCTGTCTGTCTGTCTCTCTCTCTCTCTCTCTCTACCTGTCTCTCCATCCATCCATCCATCCATCCATCCATCCATCCATCCATCCATCCACTTACTATGTAACCTGGTAATTTTAAGCATAATATAATGCTGAAAGTGAAAACCTTTTTCCTGAAGGATAAAAGTTCGCATCAGCTGGTTATAGACAGGAGTTCCTATTTGGATTTGGGCCCCTGGATTCAGCTTCACCACTTTTCTGCCTGTTATGCTTGATACTTTTAGTCCCCCTGTGTGTGGGGTATGCTTTCTGAGAAGAGCCAGGATTCTATGGGAGGAAATTCCACATTTCTACAGATATAAAAGACAGGACACAATATCTGTATGGCAGACAATAACAAAGATCCAAATAATATCAACTTGAGAATTGGCATGTTTAATATATTCAGCAAAATTCACAAAAATCATTTGAACTTTACCGTTTTCCAAACCTCCATAGATGATGCTTATATGTATACTTCATTTAACATCGTTAAGCTAAATGTATTAGTCACAGTTGCTTTGGAGGATTCTGGGCTTTGTGCAAGTCAGAACTTGCTCAGTTGGAAGATACTGAGTGGAGCTCAAATTGGGAAGAAGTAAAGAATGTGGCTTTAAGAAAGGACACTTTGGCCAGGCACGGTGGCTCATGCCTGTAATCCCAGCAGTTTGGGAGGCTGAGGCAGGCAGATCACCTGAGGTCGGGAGTTCAAGACCAGCCTGACCAACATGGAAAAACCCTGTCTCTACTAAAAATACAAAATTAGTCGGGCATGGTGGCGCGTGTCTGTAATCCCAGCTACTCAGGAGGCAGAGGCAGGAGAACTGGTTGAACCCAGGAGGCGGAGGTTGTGGTGAGCCGAGATCGTGCCATTGCACTCCAGCCCGGACAACAAGAGTGAAACTCTGTCTCAAAAAAAAAAAAAAAAAGAAGAAGAAGAAGAAAAAGAACACTTTGCAGAGCCTGTGTATTCATGGGAGGTCCTTTGATGGAACGGGAAGAGGGCTGGAGTTCTGAGGCTTGGGTTTCCAGTCGTGACCGCTCCTTGTTAGCTGAGTGAACCTCAGTGGCTCTCCTACCCCTGCAAGCTCCAGTGTCCTCATCTGTAATGTAGGGATAACAATGGTACTGATTCACAGGGTGGTTAATGGAGCAAGCGCAGTGATGTTAGTGGAACATCATCCTTCGTATATTGTTGAGACGTATTTGTCGTGACGATTAAAATGAGATATATAGTCAGTAAAGTAAAAGCTTTTATTTTATATTTTTTTATTTCTAGTATTAGAGGCAGTATCCATTTTCCCAAATTTATTACTCTTTATTTCTTAAGCTGCGTGAGAGAACTCCCCTTCCTGGAGAAACAGAGTGGTGTATTAGTTCTTAGACTGAACGAACTTTGCAGCAGCTCAGACTGATTCCTTTACCACTGGTAGTCAAGGTTTAAAAATATTGGTGGACATCATCTACAAGTATCTTGGGTATAAATGCAAATTATGTTGCAGCCATCATATTCCATAACTATGCTTTTAAAAATGCCTCAGACTGATAAAAGATTAGCCAGGGGTTATAACGCTTTGGTGAATCATTAACTGACTCTAGTGGATGTCACCTTGGTTTTCCTCTTTACCCTAACCCCTCCCTTTTTCTAAGCGCTCTGGAAATTCTGGCACTGAAACCCAGGGCTTTCCTTGCATAAGAGAAAGCTACCCATCAACAGTGGTGACTGCCCTTGTCCCACTCACTGCACTGTGCCTCCCGCTCACCCTTGGGCACTGCAGTGGTGCTTCTGTGGCCTGATTACACGTGTGAAGGGGCAGCAGGGGTTGTGGGGGGTGGGGGGCAATCCCTGCACAATCTCATCATTGTGCTAAGTATTTTGAGAAATAGCATTTCAGGTACACGCGGGCACCCGGATTAAAATACCATCTTTGTTCGGTATTTCCCATTGTACTGTCAGTTGCACTGAAATGAAGTCTCATTTTCCCGATGTTATGGGATGGACTACACTTTTACAAATGAATTTATCTTGTAAACTCACCCTCATCCAGTTTGTATCAAAGCCACTCAATGTTTTGTACGTTCATTTTATCTTTGGAGTCGGGGAAACATAAAAACCATGTCAGCATATTTACTACTTTCACTCACTGCCACCTTTCTTCAGTTGTCACATTAGATTCCCCGTTTAGAAGAGTAGTCATCTTTGGAGAATGCCAGTTTCTGTCATTTTGGTTCTTTTAGAAACAAAAAACAACTAATTGCATCAAAGTTAATAATGGAAAAGTTTATTTACTCGATACAATGTAATATTATAAATCTAGCAAGTAATTGAGAGGAAAAGAATCTTCGGCTGGGTGCGGTGGCTCACACCTGTAATCCCAGCACTTTGGGAGGCCGAGTCTGGTGGATCACAAGGTCAGGAGATCAAGACCATCTTGGCTAACATGGTGAAACCCTGTCTCTACTAAAACTACAAAAAAATTAGCTGGGCGTGGTGGTACGCACCTGTAGTCCCAGCTATTCGGGAGGCTGAGGCAGGAGAATTGCTTGAACCTGGGAGGTGGAGGTTGCAGTGAGCTGAGATCGCGCCACTGTACTCCAACCTGGCGACAGAGTGAGACTCCGTCTCAAAAAAAAAAAAAAAAAAAAAAATCAAAAAAATCTTCTGAAATAATATGAAATGGTTTTCTCATAAAAAGAAAAAGTACTCCATGCTGCTGATATTGCTTTTCCTCCTTGTACATTTTAAGATTGTGAACATTTATACATTTATATAGGTTTAAAAATAAAACAATGGCAGTGAAAAGGCTCCATCACACCATCATCCTGTGTCATCCCCCACATTTCCAGTTCCCAACCTATCTCCTTTACATGAGTTACTGTTTTCTGTCACTTTGGAGAGTTTATTGAGAAGTATACAAGCAAATAGAAACATCTGTTTTGATATCTTTCCTGTTATTTTCCCTTTTTATATATATGTAGCATATACATATGGTGAGCCTTTTGTGGTGTTAAGCAGTAAGTCTGGATTGGCCCATGGAGAGTTTCATTCATTATATAGCTGTAGGCTATTCCTTTGTATGGATATGCCATAACTTATTTCACCAGTCAACCAGTCTTATAATAAGGACATTTGGTTGTTTTCCATTTTTAGGTATTAAAAAATGATGTCATAGTAAATAACCTCAGACCTATGTTATGTAGTGTGTGTGCTACATGTGTTTAATTTTTAGACATGGGGCTTGCTGGGTCCAGGGTATATACATTTTCCATTTTGAAAGTCACTGCCAAGTTCTCCTTCTTGGGGGTTGTAGCTATTTAATCTCCCTCCATCAGTATATGAAAGTGCCTTTTCTCCTGCAGTCTTGCTAACAGAATAATATCAAATGTTTGGGTATTTGCCAATCTGACATATAAAAAATATATCTCACATATGACTTTAATTTGTATTTCTCTTATTTGACTGGAGTTGAACATCTAATACATTTAAGAGTTACTTATATTTCCTTTTGTGAAAATTGTCTGCTTGTCCATTTTTCTGTTGGATTGTTATATATCCATTATTAGGAACTCTGTTAGGAGAATTAGGGTTTATTAGAATATACACACACACACACACACACACACACACATATATATATGCGCTTATTATAGATATATTACCCAGAAGAAATTGATTTTTTTCTTTTTCTTTTTGAGACAGAGTCTCGCTATGTTGCCTAGCTGGAGTGCAGTAGTGTGATCTTGGCTCACTGCAACCTCCACCTCCTGAGTTCAAGTGATTCTTCTGCCTCAGCCCCCCAAGTAGCTGGGATTACAGGTGCCTGCCACTGTGCCCGGCTATTTTTTTGTATTTTTAGTAGAGACAGGGTTTTACCATGTTGGCCAGGCTGGTCTTGAACTCCTGACCTCAGGTGATCCACCCACCTCAGCCTCCCAAAGTGCTGGGATTACAGGCGTGAGCCGCCACGCCTGGCCAAGAAATTGATTTTATTTAGTTGAATTTATCCATCTTTTCTTTTGTGGCTTCTGAATTTTGAGTCATAGTTAGAAAAGCCTTCCTCCTTAGGGTCATAAAGGAAATCTGTGTTTCCCTGTAATACTTTTAATTGCTTTTAAAAAGATGTGTATATCTTGGATCTGTTTTTACATATGTATCTTGGATCTGTTATGGTATATATCCTGGTGTGCCATTTAAAATATGGATTCAACTTTATTTTTTTGGAAGCTGTATACCCTGTTATCCCCAGGCCAATTAATAAATAATTCTAATCTTTGTTCTTAAAATGTTTTCAAGATCCAAAAAGTTGGCAGCTCTTGCAGAAGCCTTAAAGGAAGTCTCCCTTACAAAGGCCCAGCTGGGGTTAGAACTGGAAGAACTAGAAGCAGCAGCACTGCTTGTCCAGGAGGAGGAAACTGCATTAAAAGCAGCCCATTCAGTTTCTGGGCAGCAGACACTTTGCTCCAGCTCTGAGGCAAGTGATTCGGAGGACTCAGACAGCACCGTGTCATCTGGAAACGAAGACTCAGACTCAGATTCAGAACAAGATGAACTCAAAGATAGTCCTTCTGAGACAGTCAATTCTTTGCAAGGTCCCTTTCTTGAAGAAAGCAGTTCCCTTCTTATTGTTGATGGTGGAGTATGCAGAAACACAGCCATCCAGGAGTCTGATGCCAGTCAGGGAAAGCCACTTGCCTCTTCTCAGCCTCTTGGAGTGTCTGGACCTCTGATAGAGGAGCTTGGGGAACAACTGAAGACCACAGTTCAGGTTTCTGAACCCAAGGGCACCACTGCTGTAAATCACAGCAATATGCAGGAGAGAGACGGCTGTCAGACACCAAATGATTGACTCTTAGGTGGTTTTATTTGTTGTTGAGAAATACGGTAGATTTGGTTTCATTTACCGAATGAGAATTCCTCATTTTCACTTTGTAGTTTTTCTTAGTGTATAGACAGCCTGCTGTATTTGTATCCATATCTGTGGATTCAACCAACTGCAGATCAAAAATATTTAAGAAAAAATTGCATCTGTACCAAACATGCAGACTTTTTTCTTGTTATTATTCTCTAATACAGTATAACAACTATTTCCACAGCATTTACATTGTATGGGGTCATATAAGGAATCTAGTGATGATCTGAAGAGTACAGGAGGATGTGGGTAGGTTATATGCAAATACTGCACCATTTTTTATCAGGGACTTGAGCATCTGATGATTTTGGTATCCTCAGGAGTCCCGGAACCAAGCCCCCACAGATACGGGGACAACTTTATGACTTTTTTTTTCAATCAGTGAATGTGTATACCTTTTGTTTTCCTTGCTGTGACTGTGAAGATAAAATTCAAAAGTATTTTTACCGAAGTATAGCTAATATTTCAAGCTGAAAATAATAGTTCTACTGCCAGTGTCTCCAGAATGTAGAGCCCATCAATATTTTTATTTGAGGAGGTGTACTTGACACCCGATAAACTGCACGTATCGAAAGTGTACAGTGTGTTGGCATATGTGTACCCCACGTAAAACTGTCACCGCGATTGAAGTGAAGAACGGACCCATCATCCCCAAGTGCTCTTGGGCCCCGTTATTAGTTTGCATGTCCTAGAATTCTATGTAAATTGACTCATACAATATGTATCCCTTTTTTGGTCAGGCTTATTTTACTCGGTCTAGTTATTTTGAGATTCATCCATGTGGTAGCATGTGTCAAGAGTTTTTGTTTTTCATTGCTGAGTACTACTTCATTGAATAGATCTGTTCATTGACCTATCGATGGACGCCTCGCTTGTTTCCATTTTGGGGCTGTTATAAATAAAGCTGTTATGAACATTTGTATACAAGTCTTCATGTGGACGTATGCTTTCATTTCTCTTAGGCAAATACCTGAGGGCGGAATGACCGAGCCGCATGGTAGGTATGTGTTTAATGTTTTAAGAAAACGCTGAACTGTTCTCCAGCATGGCTGTACCATTTTACATTCCCACCAAAAGTGATAGTCTATGAGAGTTCCAATCTATGAGAGTTGCAATCTTGCACATGCTTGTTACTGATATAGTCAGTCTTTTAAACTTTTACCATTTTCATAGATGTGTAGTGGTGTTTCATTGTGGAAGTGTCTGTTCAGATCTTCTGCCTCTGTGTGTGTGTGTATATGTTTGCCTGTGTGTGTGTGTGTGTGCGCGCGCGCGCGTATGTTTGAGACAGGGTCTTACCCTGTCTCCCAGAGTGGAGTGCAGTGGCACAATCTCTGCTTACTGCAGCCTCAACCTCCCAGGTTCAAGCAATCCTAGCACCTCCTCCTGACCACAGGCTTGCTCCACCACACCCAGCTAATTTTTATAGCTTTTATAGAGATGGGGTTTTGCCATGTTGCCCAGGCTGGGTTTGTGATTCTTTTAGAGTTCTTTTTGTTTGGTTGGTTTTGTTTTGTATTGTGTTGTGTTGTGTGTGTGTGTGTGTGTGTGTGTGTTTTGGGTGTGTGTGTGGTTTTTTTGTTTGTTTGTTTGTTTTGAGATAGAATCTCACTTTGTCACCCAGGCTGGCGTGCAGTGGCGTGATCTTGGCTCACTGTAACACCTGCCTCCCAGGCTGAAGCAATTCTCATGCCTCAACTCCCCCCCCAAGTACCTGGGACTACAGGTGTGCACCACCAGGCTGGGCTAATTTTTGCATTTTTGGTAGAGACGGGCTTTTGCCATGTTGCCCAGTCTGGTCTTGAACTCCTGAGCTCAAGCAATCTGCCCACTTTGGTCTCCCAAAGTGCTGGGATTATAGGCATGAGTGACCACGCCCGACAGTTTGAGAGTTCTTTATAAATTCTGGATACAAGTCCTTAATAATGAGTCTTTTTTTTTTTTTGCATGCCTCATAGTCTTTGATTGGATGCCACACTTTGTGAATTTTACCTTCTTAGGTGCTGGATATGCATTCTTATATATACTCTCTATCTTTGTGTAGGGATGCTGTCCAGTGACATGGAAGTAGTTTGATCCTTACGGGTCTCGCTTTGTAATTTGTTAGGCAGGTCTGGCACGGTGCTCAGTCTAGGGCAAATCCTTCCCCAGTGCTGATTTTCCTGAGTGCTCCACCATGCCTTATGAATTATGAGTTTTTCAGCCTGGCTGATTGAACTCACACTGTTCCCTGTGTGCATACTGAGGACTGTTCTCTCTAATGTGAGTGTGTGTGGTTTTTTTTTTTACCTTGAGACAGAGTTGTTCTGTCGCTCAGGCTGGAGTGCAGTGATGCGATCTCAGCTCACTGTAACCTCTGCCTCCTGGGTTCAAGTGACTCTTCTGCCTCAGCCTCCCGAGTACATGGGATTACCGGCATGCACCACCACACCTGGCTACTTTTTTGTGTTTTTAGTAGAGACGGGTTTTTACCATGTTGGCCAGGCTGGTCTCAAACTCCTGACCTCAGGTGATCCACCCGCCTTAGATTCCCGAAGTGCTGGGATTACAGGCGTGAGCCACCGCACCCAGCCCCCTCTAATCTTTTCAGATGGTTCTACAAGAGGACTCTCCTCTCTCTCTCCAGATATCCAGGGTTCTCTGTGCAGCTGTCTCCTCTCTGGAGCTCTGTCCTGCAAATGTTAGCTGCCTTCGTCACCCCGAGTCCTCAGCCCTGTCTTTGAACTCCAGAACCCCCTGGGTTCTGCCTGGATTGTGCTTCCCTGCATAGCGTGGAAAGTCTTTCAAGGCAGTAGGTCTCACCTTGTTTTCTGTCTCTCAGGATCACTGTCTTGCATTGCCTGAAGTTCAGAGTTTGGAAAGCCATGGTTTTGTGTATTGCTCCCATTTCTCTGCTTTGGTTATGTCTGACGGGAGAGTAAATCTGGTCCCTGTTAATCCATTGGGACTGGAAGTGTAAGTCTCCATTAATAGTTTATGAGTTTTCCCACTTGAGTTTAAGCTGCTGGGGAGGTAGGGTCTTGTTAACACTGAATCATCAGTGTCCATATTCTCAAGCACTCCATAAATATTTGTTGAATGAATGAACAAATAAGATAAACCAATTTGCTTTGAGGAGGAAATGAAATCTGATCTATTAATCTCAGTAGCATCATTAATTTCAAGAAAGGGTATGATACTTTTTACTTAGGGCTTGTGAAGATTGTGAATATTTGTACTTTTCTAGTTTGTGTTAATATGATCCTGGGGTGACTACGGCACTTAAAATGCATATGAACTCCTGAATACTATAACTGCTTTGTTGGAATGTGTTCAAGACTTCTCTCAGCCTCCTTGGAGAGCTTCCAAGTCCTTATGACCATTGAAAATGCATTTCTCCTCAATAGTACATTACCTGAAGCCAGTTTGAAAAAGTATTATCTGTAACTCCCCTCATTTACTTCCACTGAAGTCAAGCAAGTTAAGCAAATCCTCTCTTGTCTAAAAGTTTAAAGCCATGGAAGTTTTCTTCCTTCCATCAATTTCTGTTCTTAGGAATCTTGACAGGATCTACTTCAGTGGACTTGTCCTGGGTAGAAAAACTTGTTATTCCCTTCCTCAAAGAATGAGCAAACATGATCCTTCCTGGACATCCTCAAAGCCAGGGAGCTCATTAAACAACCCTCATGAGTATTAAAGACAACGTGAGTGAGCTCCTTAATTTCAGAGTCCGTGTCGGCAGTGTTTCTCCTACCCTTTCTTTGTTCACAGAGGTTGAAGCTTTGTTATATCACATTACTCTGTCTTTGTTTAAGATGGGCTGAGAACACTATACTACACTAGCTCAGTAACCCAAAACACCTCCAAAGGTGCTGCCTTTCATTTATTTTTTTTAAACCAGACAACCTGCCAGGCAACTTTAGGGATCTCCTATAACCATATGGGTTTCCCAAAACCCATAGGTGATGGGAGAAAAAAATAAGTTGGGGAAAGTATAGGGAAGAGACTCAGTGACTGCCTAGTCGCAGGTCAGTGGGAAAAATCAAGACTTTGCGGTTGACAAGAAGCAGCCTCCAATTCAACCCAGCTCCACTGTGGCTGACTCACAAGGGTGGGGGACTCCAAACTGCACCTTTCCCTTCATCTTAGAAATGGGGCTGGGCATGGTGGCTCACGCCTGTAATCCCAACACTTTGGGAGGCTGAGGCAGACGGGTCACTTGAGGTCAGGGGTTTGAGACCAGCCTGGCGAACTTGGTGAAACCTTGTCTCTGCTAAAAATACAAACAAATTATGTGGGCGTGGTGGCGGGCCCCTGTAATCCCAGCTACTCGAGGCTGAGGCAGGAGGATCACTTGAACCTGGGAGGCGGAGATTGCAGTGAGCTGAGATTGTGCCACTGCACTCCAGCCTGGGCGACAGAGTGAGACTCTGTCTCAAAGGAAAAAAAAAAGGGGGAATAGATGAGATCGGGTGCGTTCAGGGTGGTATGGCCGTAGACAGAAATGGAAATAGAACTGCTTTTATTGCTGGCCTTCCAGTGCTAGGAGACTGTTCAAAGCACTTTTATGAACTGGAAAGCGTTAAACCAGCGTAAGGGTTTTTTATTATTGTTTCACTTCCCAGAGCTGAACAGGGCTCTATTTAGCTACCTAACAACAGGTCGCTGGGGGAGCTGGCACTGTGAAAATGAGTCAGCCCTGTTAATCGCTACAGAGGCAGGCTAGTGGTAAAAGTGTACACAGTTCAGCAGATTAGATAGAAATATTAATTATGCCAATGAATCACAGCACTGCCTCATCTTCTAGGCTTGCATTATCATTGACCTGTTTTTCTGTGTTCTGTCTCTCTTGTCCCATTATCCTTGAAGAATGATCGGAGGCCTTGCTGTGGGCATGGCCAGGTTTTAGGTGCCGGTAACTAAGCTGGTATCACCGTTCACTGGCACAAGATTAAGCTGCAAATGAGACAAGACTGCTCCCTACCACATTCTAAATTGGTTGACAGCTGGGGAGCGGTTTTCACACCTGCGAATGAAAAACTCACTTTGGTTATGTGGATCAAATTCTGTTATTAATACCAAGAATTGGGAGGAGTAGAGAGAGGGCCATATTTAAGACTTTATAAAATTATTAACAAAAAAACAAAAACAAAACAGACTCCTAGATATCTGTTTTGTTATAAAGGGATTTTTATTACTTTATATGTTATAACTGGAAATTGAATTATATAGTCAATGATGGTGAAACAGATACCTCTAAAAGAAATGGAAATGAGTTTAAAACTTAGTATAGGAATGAAATTATAAATATACATCAGATCCTAAGAGTGTATTTATTATAAAATCCTTAAACATGCAGAAACCCACCATATATCAAATGGCCTGTCATATAATGTCACTGCATGTCAGGTAAATTCAAATTAAGCTTCATGAATGCAAATCTCTCATTGTTTGGTCAGGGGTCTCCATTAGAGCAAGCGAAAGATTGCAAATGTTTCTTTAACATCATTCCATCTAAATCCCTGATGGAATTTTTGTGATCTGCTGCTTTTCTGTCCTGTTTTCTGAGTATGTTATGTATAGTTTCAATCCATACCAAATGAAGGAAGCATTGATTAGACTTGATTTAAGGCAGCAAGTGATAAATGCAGCTGGGAAATTGATTCGTGTCTCTCGAGTGACTGGGGCATAGCCATCCACAGTTGACACAACTCTTGTCTCAAGGCTGGAGAAAACAAACAGGCAAACACATGTCAGACAGATAAATGACTTTGCTGTTTTGAGCTCTCCGTGGAGGCCATTTGTTTCCTAGATAAGGAAGACTGCTTTCCAAAGTCATGAAAAGATAAGTTAGAGGAAAAGGATGAACGTGGGATTGGATGCCCAAGCACTGGGAAGAAAACAACACAAAGGATTTACCTCCGGGAAGGATCTTGCTGCTTTTCCCT